GTCCCGGCCATCCCGAGCTAATCCGAAGAATTCGTCACCCCTGTAAGTGCACACTGTCAGATAAAGACTGATGGAAATCCGCTATTCCGAGAAATAGAAGGAAGAGGAACACATCCATCCGGGGACGCTGCAGATCGAGGACGGCCCTAACGGTGAAGAGATGCGGTGTTTCCGTCCTGGTGCGGTCGTTTGATGGCATCTAGCGGTTTTAACGCGCCGTTCAGGTAATGGTGGCGAGGCACCAATTTCCTGTCGCTGTGGCGGTCATAGCAGGGAAGGAAAATGGCAACGCTATATTTCACACTCACGTAGCCATTGGACCTTACTTAAAGATGTATTGACCACGAGTTTGATTTATGGATGCTTCCTCTGACTTTCTGGCAGTCTCTTTTTGCATTTCCGTATCTTACGTATCAGGAAATCAACTTGACTCTCACTCCGTCGCAATACGTTATACCGATCTCATCATGTATTGTACATATTTTAAGATGTGTGTATACATTTATTCATACGATGTAATGCTCAAAACATATGACTCCATCAGTTTCACGCTAATTAGTACACCTAGCTATTCATGTTTTGTAATGTAGAAGAATATGGCTCCGGGCGCACAGGATGCTACTAATCATTATTATTAGAGAAGAAAACAGCATGTCTCCTCAAAATAAGTCCCCGTGGGTTATGATAAAGAGCTGAGTCTGCCAACTGTGAGCTAGCGATACGTTTGGGTGTTATTTTACTGTACAAGTGGCGCCGCCACCGTTTTGTTGTGTACATCTCAATAAGGTACGCAAAGAAATAGTTACTCAAGCAAATGGATATGATTTTGGAAACGGTCAGACGTTTCAGGTAGCATCCACTACCTTTCGCAATTCGAAGTGACACTAGTAACTGCAGGATAATGGCAGGTTTATTAGCAAGAACTATTGATTGATATGCAAATAAGTGAGACAATTTTTTGGACGTCCAAAAGGAAACAAAATTTACCCAAGTCAAGAAAAGACAATAATGATTAGTTCATGCCTATAAACCTGCCATTCTCCTGCAGTCTCTAGTTTTACTGACGAAAGGTAGTGGATGCTACCTGAAACGTCTGACCATTTCCAAAATCATATCCAGTTGCTTGAGTAACTGTTTGTTTGGCATACACGTTTTGTTATGATTCGTCTGTACAACAGACAAATGCAGACTGAGTCTTCAGTGTTTCTATGTTCACTCCTTGTTTTTGCAATTGTTCTTGCATTGTAACTATTGTTCCAATTTGTAGGATCATTGCAATTCAGGATAATATGTATAATGTGTATGCATATTTCTGCTACGTTGATCAAATAAATAAACATTTAAAGATTTTAACGGTTTTAATGGTTTGTAACGATTTATCGGCCCTACGGATATATACATGGCGCTAAGAAATTGCCGCTTGACAAACTGCTGAGAAAGGAGGAGCTCCTTTCTAGAGAGTAAGGAGTTATTGATTAACTATTATATATGGTGGAATCGTGAACCCTCAATGAAGCGACTAGACAGGCGGGCACCGTGAGTTTGTCTAAGTGGTCCATGCTGAGATGTTCTAAAGTGCCCTTGCCGTTTGAATAAGTGCACTTTGTACGCAACGTGCACTTTACCGTACATCACTGGATCATTGTTCTCAAGCCTTATAAACAAAACGTAATTGGTTTGACGATAATCAATGAAGGTCGAGTAAAAAGATATCAATTTGCTAGTATGCCAATACATCAAAACTTTTACAAAGCAATTAAAGAGCGGAAGCTAGAAGAATAAAGGAGGAATGCATATAGGCAGCCACGTAAACGTAGTTCAAATCGGAACACAATTGCGCTATTAATGTTTCTACCCAATCCCCGTATTTATAGTTTTTATTTCAGATGTTGCAAAGGGTGATAATGTTGAATCAAAAAGTATCCAAGATCAAAGTCAGTGCAAAGAGCATAATGTCACAATGAATGTTTATTGAACTAGGAACGCAGATTGCTTGGTACTAGAGGCTTATCCTTATCTCAAAATCACATTTAAAATGTTCTTCTTAGCAATCCCACAATGTTTGTTATGGCAATAACATCAATTGCAGCATCTGTATTGACGCCGTGGTAGTCTCTACAGACTTCGGCTGCCGTGCACACACTTTCAAGAAGATCTCCACAGGATAACCGGATTTACAACTCCACAATCGTTAACTAAATTCAATTTTCCGTGCGGCGAAACGGCTGTTGCGGTATATCTAACTGTATCTGAAGGCCATCTGAAGTAATCTGCACAGTTGTACGAGAGTTACATGGAGTTAATGTGCATCTACGTAATATTTCACTCCAAGCTTCCTACAGTCGGAATTGAATATCGCCATCGCGGCCCTCGGAGGTAATTCGGTTACCTGGAATGTAATTAGATTGCCCGTTCTTTTTTCCCTGGAGATCTCGTTTGATCATCCTCGTAAACGAGTAGGATTTATGTCCAGGAAAAGATCTTAATTGTCATCGGATGTGGTAATAACTAACCAGTAGTCTGTTATCCAGAGCAGACACTTTCATGCAACAGAAGGCATGAGTAGTGTGTTTTTTTATATTCCAACATTTCATGACTAGACATGGTGACGGCACAGTCAAGTTATATCAACTTATTTCTTATGCCGCCACCAACGCAGAGGACGAATACAGGACAAGAGAATACTCATTTTCACTTGAGTTAAGTGAGGAAAGTCATGTAAAGTACCTTTTCAAAGGGCACAAGATCAGCGGCGTGTCAGGACTCGAACCCGGGACCTCTTGGTTCCGAGTCGAGCACTCTGCCGACACAGATAAATAAGTCACTGTATGCAGAAATGAAGAAACGTTACAGAACCCACATGGAGCGTGTTCCAACAATGTGCGCAATAACCTCCCAGCTAAAGGCAATCTGTAACAAATGACAAGTTGGTTTCATGTGCAACTGGGAAATGCTAACAAGATTTCAAAGATATATGACCCACATGGGAACCAATTCCCTGTATTACAAATTTAGAAAAATAGTATATGTTAACTGTATCATTACAGTTATTCATCAACTTGAATGCTGATAATGTTCACAAGAGAGCAGCCGTCCAACCTTCTAGAATTTATCTCAATGATGATCGTGACTACTGCGAATGATGTTCTATCAACTTCATCTGCTTCAATGATGGAGAAAGGGATATAAATGTCCTTGTTTTGTACCTTCTACTAATAACGTATTGATTTATAGATAAACTCTTCAGATAATTGAGGAATAGCTCCAATTTTCAGTGCAAGTATTGATATTTATTGTAAAGTTGTTGATTATCGATTTTATGGGTGTACACAGTTGCGGGACATATGCAGTACTTTTAAAATATGACAGAGAACTGGTAGTGGTAGGGTACGTAAGGCAGATGATCCATGGGCATTTTTATACCGAAATTGAACAGGCCCTGGGAGGTCAAGCTATTGCCTGTTGAGTTATTGCCAGACGTATCCAGGCGGTTTGCAGAATTCCAAGTTCCCATTGGCCCCTGACCTGCGGATATAGAAAACCGCCCTGTGATACCAATCTTCCACAAATGTCCCCGATCAGGGCTGCTCAGCAGCAAAATGGGCCGCAATATCGGCGTATATGTACATAAATCAGTAGTACTGTGTACTAATTACCATACCAATTTGCATCGATGGAACACTCCATTTAAGCTGTAATTCTGTTTTGAGTCAATACTCCAATTACATTGAAATATTGTAGGAATATTTGACAACCACATATTGATTTGTGAGTAAAACTTTCAATATGACGTTACTTCCCGAACATTAAAATTGAGATAATTTCTCGAGATTATCAAGTACGGCACGGGGATCAAAATTTCAGTTAGTATTAAGCTGTTTACATCAGATACTCAATTTGTGCAGGAGTTGTTTTTAAAATTAGAATACGAATCAAACGTACTGGGGGGTAATCAACTATTGAAACTGTTTTAGGTTCTTAGGTGACTACTCATTTTAAAGCTTATAACTTCTCTGTTATTCTTTGTGTTATGTGTCTCTGTTATAGTTATGGGAATATGACGAATGCTGGGTCAAAAACCCTGGCCATGATACTCCAGATAGTCCATTTGTCACGAATATAATGATGCCCGTTTATTTGGCACCAGCGTACTGCTTTGTTTCATGCGCCCATTGAGACCGCGTCATGTAGCGCTATGTAAGGTAACGTTGCCTGAAATGTTACACTCTGTAGCTAATCTTACTGAATGCATTGTACTGCTGCATTCATTGAGCAAGGTTATAGAAACATACAATCCAAATTCTCAGTAATCCAAATTCTCAGTAATCCGAAGTGATTAATTAGATAACTTACGTATATGTAACCTATCTTTGTGAGTGAATTGAAAGAATTTTTTCCAAATCAGTGAATGGAAATTTGTCAAGCATAAGAACGTTTGCGATGTACATAAAAGACAGATATTTAGTGAAAATAACTCCACGAATGACGCAGAACTATATCATAAGGTTGCATGAACACCACACACTGTGCGCAATTTCCAGATTCATATCGACCTTGGTGCCCTGAAATCCGTCACAAACCACCAGACTGTTTCCCGTCAGACTCCTACCATTACCAGCCTCTATCACCGTGACAAATTTAAGTACTACCCTATTCAGGAAAGGGGTTTTGTTATACAGAGGCGTATAACCGACTTTTAACGTCAATATGTTTTGAGACAAGTTTTGAATTAGGGTCTAACAATTGCCACAGAAGTATGCGTAATCTAATAATAGGAATTATACGCCTACGTATGTTTTTCTGTACCTATCATACTAAGTTATAGTTACTTGCCACTTGGTATCTAGAAAAGTCCTTGAGCAAGTTACTACATGATGCATATTCCAGGAGACAGTGAAACATGAGCAAGAAATAGATTGACAGTGTTTTGTAAAGAATGAGATGTTTTTATTGTTTATTATAGTATGTTATTGCGAACGTGCAACAAAAGTGCTGCTCCAGAATAGGGCTCTATAGTCACCAGAGGTCAGGCCAACGTCAGCCGTTACACTGATGTTCGGACTCAAAGAAAGAGCCAACATGCATGTTTATTGTACATGATTACGTTCATGAACTGTACTGTGATATCTGCTATATTGTTGATAAAATCAGATACATTGGCCATAAGAGTCAGATAAGAAAAAAAGTACCTTAGGCTGTTGAGAAATCGTTTTGATAGGGATCGAACAAGACAGAAAATGTGGTAACTTTAAATCGGTTTCACACACAGGTACTCATTCCATGTTTCTCTTTTTGTAATCATCACGAATGATAAAAAATGAGAAAACTGTTTTTGATGCTGTATGATAAAGGGGACGAATTGTACCCACAACTGATAGTCTAAGAATAAACAGAAGCCGAGTCACTCGTAGTTGTACTGAGATATGTACGCTGTAGAGGAGTCAGACGCCATCTTTTGTTTGGTCGGGGTGTCCCTCCGAAAGGCAGCAGACATCAGGAGAGTGGATGTCAATTACTGTGTAGAACAATATATAAGAATATTGTAAGAACTTAGACAAATGCGTTGTATTCATTCTGAAGTTAAATGATAAAACTGTAAACTTGACAAAACTGTTTATATCAATGGTTTATTTGCATTAAAACACAACAACACTGTCCCAAAAATGGCAGCCAGAGGCTGAATTGACATTGGGGCATCACATTATTAGTATAAAACGTCATATTAAGCGATTAAAATAGAAATAAACCATTACATAAAATGTATATAAAATATTGTCAACAACATTTCAAGTGCAAATTAATATCGTAGCAGATAACAAAACAGATGGACACTGGTAACACTAAAATAAGTCTTAGGATAAAAAAAAGTGACAGTGTTACATATTAAGCAGGCGGATCATGAAAGGGTACCACCCAGGAAATAAGACTCATAAGACACATACTGTTTCAATGAACGTGAGTACTTGACCCAGAGCTCGAATCATTTGATTTGATGCATGAAGCCACGACTCCTGATTATGACATCGTGTGATCATGATCATGAATCAGAGGTCTTTTGAAGGCATCCAGTGCGACAACAGGGCAGCAAAAGTGGAAATATTCTGACACATACTGCTTCACATTGGCACATTTGAATCAGCATTTCATACTTTGGGCTTTAAAAAACTGCAGAGACAAGACCCAAAATGAGTCTTATTTCCTGGGTGGTACCCTTAAAATCAGCCCAGGGCCCTTCCAGTGGCCATTTTTTGTCAGAATTTTGGTAATTTTTGCTCCATGAGGGTCAACATACATTGGGGTAGTGTGGTTTCAACTCAGTTTGTAGATAAATGACTAGAATATTGACTTTAAAAAATCGGGGTCCCAAGCCTTAAAAACTGCCTTTAACTTCATGATGACTTAGCATGTCAATGCAACCGTTTTCTGAAGGACTTCCTGACAAGTTCTATTCCTGCCACGTTTGAAGTCATTCAGAGAAGATCCCAACGAAGAAGAAAAATGGAGTGCCATTACCTTCTGAGGCAGAGATGAAGACGACGTAGTTGGAGGGAAAGAGTCCCACCCTGCCTGCCGTGAAACCCAGGCACCAATCACCAGCTTCTCCTTCTAGTACTTCAATCACATCTGCCGCCTCCAGACGTAACTCGTTATCGTCTCTGGGTTTGTAATCATACATGGCCCTGGCGTATCTTCTTTCTGCAAAGGGTCGTTAAACAGACTTTACTCTTCCGGGCTAAGTATGCTGTTAGACTATGTCTGTATATTATCACCTTCTGTGAGAGAGTTGTAGATTTTTGTCATGCCTTCATATGCATGTTTACTAGCGATTTTTTTTCTTTAGGTATTTTGTTGCAACTTTTCTGTGGGTAATGACGAAGGCTTATATGTAACTCCATACCTTGTGTGTGTTTCTGCATCGTGTCAATTCCATTTTGATCCGCTGGGTGGTATTCTGGTTTGTCTGGATGGGGGATGATATCACAACATTATAGGAGAGCAGCACGATAGACCATCACATAAGGTGGTAGAATCAAAGACTCATCACCGTGATGTTGTAGTGGTATGTATCATATATATTTATCGTTTGAATTGTTTTGTCCAGTTGATGATGGATGCTAATGAGTAAACATCGACGACGATATATTGTTGATTTATTGCTATGATTGCTAGGCCAATAGTCGATTTCACGAAGAACATGAAGGGAGATAATATTTAATGAGTTTTGAAGCTAATAAATATCTAGTACATCTTTTAGTCCTCCCTAGGACTTTCCTGCCATTTAACAGTGCAATTTGTGTAATAGTTGTATTCCGTTATGAGACAAGATTTAGCTGCGCTGCTACGTATACATTATGGACCCCATGGGCTTGCCAAACGGCAATGATTACTATACGCATATATTAGAATTGATATCCCCTTCTAAGTTTCTTCAAGTAATCGGATTCCCTCCGGTCTTTTCTTTGCTAATGACTACCTTCTTACGTGCATATCTCACTCCATACTCCGAAATTACCCAGCCTCCAATTGTCCTCCCCACCCCGCGGTGAGCTCCATAACAGCCAAATTACCGTTCGGGGAAAATAACCCATTTAGCCGAGCTCAGTTGGTTACTTGCTGCAAACTACCTGAACTATCGGCTTCGTCACGGTCATTTTCTTGCCTCTTAGGGGCGCCTACGCCCTGCCAAAGCAATTCTCCTGGGTAGTCTACTGCACGTAGAAATCATGAAATAATGACTGAGGTCTACAAGAGCTTTGTACCTGGTAATGCTGAATGTCTCCGTGGGTCTTGCCCTTCATTTGTACTAGGTGTAGCGTGGTTTCTTCTTGATCCGATGTCGTAGTAAAAGGCGAACTTCTTCCTTTCCTCTTGTCTTCGCCGCCTTCTTAATACGTATCCGAGAAGGCAGAGGCAGATGAGAAACCAAAGACCGCCTGCTGTGGCACCGATTACTATGGCTAGAGCTGTAGCGGTGATCTCTTTTTGAATGCCTGTGGAGAAAATATTTTGATTGTATTCGACAATGCTTCCGGAGATCTTCCAACAATATTACGTAGTGACTATTTTATTCTGACAGTCTTAAAGTTTGTTTTTATATTTCTCTTTGGCACCATGTCTGTGATAAAACTTCAAACAACTGACAAAGCCCCGAGTACATTCCAATCTCCTACACTCTCGCATTATTATACCACAAACGCTTGTCAAAGTACGGTGCGGAACAGAATTAGATGATAAGGCGCTGCAATAGGCAAGATAGGTATCATACAAGGGGCATAAATACATGCAGAGTCTAGACAGAGGATAAATTTAAGTCCGTGCATGATTACCAATAAATACTTTGATTCAATTCAAAGAGTACAGTTAGTACCATTGATTTTGTCAAGTGTTAATGTCATATTGGACTCAACATACCCGTCACTGACAGCTTTGTAGTCCGAATCTGCCTCTGCCCAACCCCGTTAGTTGCTGCACATGAGTACGTTCCACTGTCGTTAGCGTCCACACTGTTCAGGACAAGGGAGCTCGTACGAACATCGCCAGACAAGACGTAAGAGTTGGCGCTCAAAAGTCGTCCGTTTTTAGACCACGTGATGTTCGGAGTGGGGTTGCCATCGGCAACGCATTGGAAAGTCACGTGGTCGGAAACACTAACGTCCATAGAATCCGAGATGCTGATTATGGAGGCAGGATCTGTAAAATATGATTACTCAATGATTATCAGGTACCCTGTATGCACTCAATGATCACATTTCATGCGTTATCATTTATGATAGTAATCAGTTTCTTGACAAGCTAACTGCCCCATGAAAATGCATATATACATACTAGTATATGTTTATTCCTTATGCAGGGCTCGAAATTAAATGTCGTCCAATGGCCACTGACCACTAAAATGTAGGCTGAGACAACTAAAAAGGCACTTTGGGATATTTTTGTGACAGTAGAAAAATAATCAACGTCAGAATGTCAGCCCCTCTTTTGTTTATCAGGCACATGTCCCGGCTTTTGGATCCGGAAAATTCCCCCCGAATTTCCTGTCTACTCTGCAATTATAGTGCGCCTGAGAGTGAACATAAGCAAAATAAAGTTGACTTCAAGTTGAAGTCATACAATATTTCCTCAAACATCAGGTTGGGACAGTTCTTCCTCATTTCGGGACAATTGAAATTTATTTTGGAGACAGTGCTGGGACAATAGGAGGAAAAGTTAATTTCGAGGCCTGCCGTATGATGGTAGTACAGCCTCACTTGCTCACCAAATTCCTGGTAATCTGTTGTTGTATGTTCGTTTCATGACGTCCTATGGGTGCTTGTCTTACTGATCAGGTGGATTTTCCTCAAAGAAACCACTAACTTCAGAAAATGCCACGGTGGAGCCGGTAAAGTAAGACTTTTACACCGCATATGACCCAGGAGATGAAAGCGACTGTTTTATTAGATCTTGGCCTCCGTGAATGGCCAAAACAAATGGGGTACTCAGACCAGAGATCGATATCATGTGAGCCTTCCATAAGGAAGAGAACTCTTCTTAATCCTGAAAATGGGTGCCGAAGCCCGTTTTATTATACTCGCAAGAACTCCAAGACGTAAAACAGGTGGGGCCAATTGTCAGTTAATGATCCCTGCACTGGACTGAATGGAGAAGTTCTGATTTAAACAAGATATGCCCTCGGCCTTTTAACGATAATAAGCAACTAAACGGGGCTTTTAGCGTTATAAATGTTCAGTCAGATGGGAGAGAACGTAAAAGGACTGAGAGTGTGTTACTTCAATATGCAATAGAAGTAAGTCGTTCTTTCCATTACAGCACATCAGTGACAAATTACTGGCACTAGATTCTACTCTTCAAGATACATTCATGGTAGACTAACATTGGTCTTGCCAGGATTCTACTTGACAACACGCCTTTTTATCACGATTGGTTTTAGCATTGCAAGACGAATGAAAACTCACATTGCACACGGACCAGCATGCTTTCTGCAGCAGACCGTACGGGGTGTTCTACAAAACAGGTGTAAAGTCCGGCATCATTTCTAGTGACGTGGCGGATAACCAATGATGACGACTTTGCGTTCCCGCCAGAGTACTTCCCCTCGTAGCCGTTAGCTTCGATTCTTCCGCCATCTTTTTCCCAGTAAAGTGATGTAATGTTGGGTTTGGCGTCCTTCACAGTACACATGAGAGAAACAGTCTTTCCCCACGTAGTGATGTATGGATTGCTTGGGCCAACCTCTAGCCTGGGTGGGACTGAAGGAATATTTGAAAGAAAAATATCAAATTTGGTAGAATGATACACAACAAATTCAGTTGATTCAAATTGGTCAATTGCAAATCAGTTCAGCTAGCTTTAATGGCAATCTGATTTACTCAAGTTATGGTCTCTTCTTCTGAGCGAATTCTCTCATTTCATTAATGTGAAATTAGAAATCACATTGTTCGTGGCCACTGATTATATCAAGTGGAAATTACCATCGATTGTTTCCTTCCCGGTCTGTCAAGTTCTATGTAATAAAACCAATAAACTCATTACTAAGTAATGCAAATGCGCTGAAGGGAAACTGGTATTGATCGTAAAGAAAGTCCATTAGGGAGGTCCATTTGAGTGTTTATAATGATTTGTTATCTCCTTTACGTCAGGTACTATAGAGTAACTCCGAACTAACCATGTAGTTCCAGGCGAATGAATTTCTCGTCGGTTCCCCGTTCGTCGGTCATGATTGACAGGGCGTACATCCCCTCGTCATCCGCCGTCGTGCGATCAATCCGCAGGGAGGCTTGTCCCACAAGCTGGGCTCTCCCCTTATAGACGCCATAAGCACGCCTTATGTTCAAGTCAGGAACATAGGAGAACACACTTCTTCTCTGCTGGGATGTGCTGTCGATGTCAACTTTGTGCCAAATGATGGAAATGACTCGGTAACTGGTGGAGTACTTAGCTGGCAATGTGGCAGTATCACCCAGTGTGGCTTTCACAACGTCTGGAAGGTTTATAGATACAGCATTCTCCGCCTCACAATCTGTAACCAGAAAAGGAAAACTTCACTGTAATGCAACGACTGTTATATACATAGTGCAGTGTCTGCGTTTTTCTTTACTTTACATTACTGCGGATCAGATATTCTGTGCTTGTATTTCGCATACTGTGCCATATGGTGTTCGTTTATTTTGTGAACTTGCACAACTTTCCATGAAAACGAGACGTTGTGCTGAATATTCCTGGAAGAAATTTAAGTTGTTTTCGTAACTGGTTCCAGGAAATGTCATACGAATAATATGCAAGTTCATGTTGTTGCCAGTCAAATGTTTTGTCTTACTTATAACCCGACAAAAGTATACTACTGCTCTCTAGTTTGCAGAATAATAATAGTTATAGTTTTAGACAATTGTCTTGTGTTATCAATATATGTAGATTTTGAATTTATTTTGTACTCTGTTTTGGGCAGAAATTTTCAATAAGTTTATTATTAATAATAAACGGTAATACGTGTCACTAGATTATTGAAAATGCATGGGAAGACACACGCATGGCCTCCACTGTGGCCTCAGAAATGACCAAAGCGAACAGACACAAACCATATATACCAGCTCTTACTCTTATCTATATGTATTTGTAAAACGTGTGTGTATAGATTTATTTGGATTTTAAATGTTGTAAACCCTGTCTTTGTTGTCTTATCTCTTCTCTCATGACCTAGGTACAATCAAATAAAACACAATGTCTGTATTGACGTATATACGAACATGAACACCAGAGTTATTACTGTGTGCCCACGTAACATAAGCCACTCAGAGCGCTGATCTGGATTGGTAACAGAGGGGTGGAAGCAAATTACCCTATGGAGCGGCACATCAATGTACCTAATAGCGCGTAAAATTAAAATTATGGGGAGGAAATAAATGCTTTACCATGCTAGTCATGTATTCTGTGTGACAGGAAGATACTTAAGTTCGAAAAATTGATACACTGTGTCTGACGTATGGCGGATTGCACATCTTTCACGTCCTTGCTACCAGCCATGATAATGCATATAGTAGGACGTAACATTTCAGGCGACGTGTACGTGATATTTAAAACTCACTAGTGCAACGATAGACAAATGTACACGTACTTATGCATTGGCTACTCACCAATATATTAATTTAGAAGAATTAATAGTATGTCAAGTAATCCTGAAAATTGCCTTTTAGAGAAGTTTCCATCCTGTTCAAACGCAGTGATAAGTGTGGAAGGAAACATGTTTTGTCAAAAGATTACTACTTATCTTTATTACCGTGCTCTACATATATATCTTACTATTCACACATTGGAAGCCATGGGGTGGTAAAACGGCACGTTTACGACTTCACGTTTCACCAAGACTTTGCATAAAGGTTAATAGCGCTATAAGCGCAGTATAACATGGCTGCGCGCGCCATTATTCTGAATTTATATTACAGAAATTACCTCAGTTATCAAGGAAATTGCAGATTAACGAAATGAAACACCTCAGTTGTGGCTTAATCCACCGTGATCCTGTGATGGCGCGGCGACGTTGACGCCTGCGTTTACGACTTTCATGGACGTCTTGCGCCACGAGTAGTAAACCGGGAAAATTAGGTGTTATCTGACCGAAGACAGACGGCCCGGCTTCACCAGTGCAGTCATCCGTGAATGTCATCTGCGGCGCTTCCCGCCGGTAAAACACACCCAGAAGTCCGGAACTAGGGACTTAGCATCTAAATGACTGCAATTACGTACCTGGCTATGGGCAGGATTTGGGACCAGCAAGCAATTTCGACTGAAGTTTTGATAAGACATAGCAGGTCATTTGACGTTTAAAATGTTACTCTAGTAGTAATCTGTGTCTGTTCCTAATCTATTCATGAATCAATTCATGGCGAGTTACATTACATCCGAGTACCCAGCGTCACGTCCCGTTGAAAACAAAGTGGGCTGCAAAGAGGAAACTTTATTACAAGGAAATAGAACACCTTGTCTCAATTTATGAGGAAATGTTATACCTCAGCTTTTTACAATCCGCTGGTAGTGATATTATAATCTATTTGGAAGGCCCATAACATGTAACATATCTCCACAACCTGTCTTTTTTGTGTTAGATATCCAGATTCTCATGAGTACTGAGTAAAGTCTGACAACATATTTTGTTGGTCTAATCGTATTTCTTTTAATAACATACCTTCACCTCACGTTTTCTGAAAAATAAGCGATAAATCTTGGCCACAAAGATCAAAGACACCCATCGGGGATTAATTAGGTTGTTTGAGTCTGCTCAATAATTAAAGTAGATAGGGTTTCCGGGAACCAAACTGTGATTAATAAGATACAGCCAACTTTCTGAAGACGGAGTTCTTATCGATTTGCCTCCTACGGTTGATTGACTTGTACAGGTATCGATTTTTAGGCAGGTGACCAGAAATGGAGATTGTCGTCCTGTTCTCAAGACTGCCACAACTATACTCGATATTCGATGCACATGTATTTTCTCCCTGTCTTGTATCTGGATCTAAAATGATTACTCATGTCCCCCGGCACAGGAAATTCACTTCCCATGTTGCACCCTTTTGACACAGGAATTGTTTTAGAACGATGAAGGCTGGAAGGGGTCGTACATCACCCGACAATCGACCGGGACACGTTAAGATATCTAACATTACTTCCACCATTATGTCGAGGAACTACCTGAATCATGCAATCAATTCGAGCCAACAAAGTACAATTGCAAATGCAATAGACATCTGATTCCTCAGTCTGCTGAAGAATATGACTATTTATCTTTACGTTACAGCTTAATGTGATATCCCCAGGCACTTGTATCAGGCTCAACATGTGGTTATAGGAAGATATGTCGTTACTGTATATCTAGTATATCATTGCCCCTGCAATTGTCGTCGACAAAGCTAACGTATCCCCTGTGCAATACATCACTGAGTTACCATGGTGTACAGTATACGGTCGACTTGCCAGAAGCAACATTTCAGCCATAACTTTCTAAGCAGCCAATAAAGTTGATCTCATGGGTTTTAGATGCAATGAATTCATCCCATGCACTGGTGAACATATAGGTGACGAGTCCAGTTCTTTTGTGCTTAATGGACAGGTTTAAAAGTTTTGAGCCATCCTGCGTCTCCAGGTTCAATCTAGACTTGACAATTAACTCTGCAAAACGTACTGAGCGTTGCCTGCCACTCAGCGTTGACATCAGTTGATGGACAAACTCTTACGACAAGCGATGGCAGAAACACAATTAGCGAGATGTATCGATTGCAGCTCTGGGAGACTGCCAAGATCTTTTGAACTGGGTCGAGTGACAGGCAGCAGAGTCCATGTAAGGCCGTGAGACATGTCAGTTCCGGGAAACAGAGTTGTCCTATTCTATCTAAATGGAAATTATATTACATTGAGAGCGACACTGATGCTTCTCTGTCTCATGGAACTACACCCAGGTGAAGCAGTTGATCCTAGGATTACCTGGCAATAGGCGCTGATGGGATAGTTCCTAACTGTGTAGTCCTTGACTCACTTCTTTGTCAAAGATGTGAGCTGCATACTGAAGCCGTGGATGCCGTCCCAGGTGGCAGGTGCCACGGCGGGTGCTTCAATTATATGAATAGGCTTCAGCAGCCAATCGTCTGAAGTGCAATGCTTATGGGAGATAAATTTTCCACTAGAAAATGAATTTTACCCCAGGCAATATGAAAGATCTAAGTATAACCAATTTGATTTTGGTAATAAAGGTAGCCGTAGTTGAATTAGGGAAATTAAGATTCGTTCATCATCTTCACACGTGCATTGGTATTGCTATAATCAATTGAATTTCCGACAATGGCTATCTAATCCCACTGTTATCGCCATCGACAGTGTCATTAACTATGATCACTACATCATTATTATAGCGATCGCAGCACAATCCCAGGACACACGGTGTAACGAATGTATCAAATTGCATTTGTGGCAAGCATACTTATGTTCATTTCTTTCTTGATTTAAAAGAATGATCTTAGAGAACAAAGCATACAGCAACCCTTAGGAATCGCCGATAAGTATCAGATCTTTTGATATTCCACCGTCAATCAAATTCCATTAACAAACCTATTTGGCTACCTTATGTAACGTACACCTTGTTCTGAGATAAGAACTCACAAGTTGTGTGTGTGTCACGTTCCCATAAAATGCAACTGTTTACCTATGTTCTTCTACCTAGGATGCCAGAATCGTCATTGATGGAACTACAGTTCTAGCTGAACGTTTTCAGGGTTGGAATTCAAACAGGAATAGATTTCCGATCTCGTTATTAGCACCTTCTACAAGTAACTATGATGGCGGCACCAATAATGAATGTCAAGTACACAAATGCTGTCACCTGTAGTTTCGTACATTGCTACACTGACGCTACACGTACGTTTTAGTCAGAGCAAACGATTTCCCGGTACGTTTCGTTCGGAAATGGCTTCCTGACCAGATCCTGATAGGCTGTACACTGTACATGAGAAATCAATGTGAACCGTCTGTTCAACAACGGGGATTAACAACCCAGTATGCTACCTGCAGGACTTTTACGTGCGGAAAATGATTTGTAACAAGACTTACACAATAGCAGATTTCCTGAAATAGTTGATGGGGTATCAATATGGCATTAGTTAACGTGTAGATCATTGGTGAACTTGTGTCACAATTACATCTATCTTACATCAGTCGACATGTAAGAATCGTAGATGATAGCAAAATGGCATCATTGCCCTTATTCTATTCTACTCCCCGCTCTCACATTTTTTTCTCTCTCCATACATTTAAGGCTTTAAATCTT